AAAGATCGAACCGTGGAGTTAGCCCAGATAGCTTCGCCGCCGTTTTCATCAACCAATAAGCCACGGAACGGCGAAGCACCAAGAATTATTACTCAGCAATGGGATGAGACATGAGGTATTGAACGGGAAACGGTCTAGCCTACCATGCTCTTGGTTCGGTCCACAATTTGATTTCTCGATGCAATTTAAAAGGGCCTTAATTGTCCGCTCGTTTTCTGCGATCCAGGAATTCTCGTGCTCCAGAGCGTTGCTGGGGAATAAGGTTGTACTGACGAGAACTCTGTGAGAAGCTTTTGCAGGAGACTGCCTCGCGAAATTATCCAGCCAGTTCCCATTGTTGAATAACAGTTGGACCAAGTGCATCAGGAAGGCCAGAAGAAATATGCAGCCTACGAGGAGTACCGATATCCGATAAGATGCGTGCTTTTGAAGCCAGGTGCTGAGAAAGAAGCCGTGAGATGATTGATATGTTGGCTCACAGAGAAAATTGAACGAACCGTGCGTATCGAGTCATTCTCCCCCGGTGGGCAATCAAGCGGCCAGATTCAAGGGACCGCGAGCGAGGAAGGAGAGTGAATAGTGGTGCGATGGGTCAATGCGAGCCACGTATATACCGGGCCACTATTCGGTAGTTTCATCCCGGGAACCTGGAACCCGAACAAGTCCTGGTTCCCTAGTGATACGTGACATTGACGGGGAGCTTAGTAGCTTTAAAAAAGCATCGCAATCCGAGGCAAGCAAGATTGGAGCAGGAGCTACAGTATAATGTAGCAATATAGGATTTCAGCGGAGAAACATCTTTGGATAACATACACAACTTAAAAAGCCCGATTTAAATTACCAGTCCAGCAGCGGCGCGCAACTTGAGAACCGCTTCGGCGTGTAGATCTCGCAAAACATCCTAAACGGAATCAATAACTATGATGATTGCGATACTTACCGCGGCTGGTGCAATAGTGCTCGTCAAACGAGCCGTAACACTAAACATTTGACTGTTGGCACACAGCTGTAGCCATGTGAATTGCACCGTAAATCCACGACTCCAGCCACCCGTCGGCTAGGACAACTCCGCTTGGCCTGGCACTTATGATGTTGATGGAAGCAAATAGATGGATCATTGCGGCCCAATTTAGCGAATACCCGAGCCACGGCTGGATGCACGCTATGATGGCGCCATCACGTTCCGTTCTGTGCGCTTCCCGGCTTGCCGGTTTCCCGCGCTAATTTATTTGCGCATGTTATCTTCCCATCATCACCAATCCGCGTTCCGCCCACACCGCTCGGCTACCTGCGCCCGCCCTGCCCCCTGCTCCTGCGGTACTGGCATAACGGCACACGCCACTTCCCGTCCCACCCGTGCCGCGCTACCAGCCTTTTCCGTCGCTCCCCGCATGTCACGGGCGCAGTTTTGCGTATGCTGCAGTGCCTCCCACCCCGTTCGCGTTGCCCTTGCACACTCCCCACACCGCCACATATATCACTGCAGCTGTGATTTTCTGTTGTACACACATAATGTGCCCCCCTTTTACTTTTGTGCACCCTTGTAGTTCTTAAAATCAACTCCTTTTGATTCGTCTTTTGATTTGTATTTTGGCCTACAGATGAAATAAGTAGCCAATATATTGTAGAAGAAGGTAAATGCTGTGCCATCGGGTCGGTTATGGTTTTTCGGGACATGGCATACTGGCGAACTGACTTGTCGCGAACTGACGTTCGGACTTGCGGGCCGGTCGGCGCTGCATGGGCGCTTAAAATACAATCGAGCAATAGCGCAAGGGCTAGGGCTAGGAAAAATCCAGGAATATCCCGGAGAGCTTCCATAGGATGTTTCTTCTTGAATTAAAAACAATAACACCGGCAACTTAAGTCATTCACAATATATAGCCATTGGTCAAACTTGTGTGACATGTTCATTACGGTTAACAATACTCAACTACCCCACTTTTCGAGCTCATTGTGTCAACGCTCATCCTAGAAGTTTAAATACCCCAGATTTTTCGATAATAGAAGGTCCATACGACCTTATTGTTCACTCTAGGCACTACTAGTACGATGTCTGAGCCTTCCATGCACCGAAAACCATCAAAAGAGGTGTTCCTGAGTGAAAAATAAACCTTTTCTGATCATCCCAAAATTTGAATGGGTGTGTAGGCATGATTATGGCGTCTATAAATCCGAATTTACAAGCCATGAATGCATCCTATTGCAACGAAATAAGCCTGGTTATCAGACCCCAGAGAAGCCTGAATCATCGTACAGGACTTTGCTCAACCCCCAATTCATTTTTTTTAGTGTTCCTGTGAGGAAAATACATTCTTACTCGAAGAAGACGTAATGAAATATTGCTACGACGGAAAGATAAACATTATTTCTGCTACAGGTAGCAATTGAGCAAAATCTCGACCAGAAAAAATGGTCACGTTCTAATTTCTCTTCCTAAAAATACTTGCGTAGACAAGTCTTGCTATCTGGAAGATTCATGCAGAGATTGCTTCCCCACGCGTCCGCAATTCGCGAAATCGTCAGGTTTTCAGGGGGATCATTCCAAATTGGGAACGTCGATCACGTCAATCAGTGGCTGTACTGTTCATCGGACATCCCACCCCTCACCATCAGCCTAGTCCTCAGACATAGCACACCACTCACACTGCAATATTCAAGCTCGACCCTTACCTGTCCCATTCCTAATGCATAGTGCAGGAGTCGTGAGCTTGAGCTGCAACCGAGCCGAAATGGATGCAGCCAACAATTGAATGAAAAGGGTGTGTTATGTCTCTGCTTGACTGTATTTCGCTTCATTACCCAGTAAACTGTATCATACATATGCACTGCGTATCCTACAATATTTTTGCGATTTTTAAAGCGAATTTCGGCATTGTGGCCGTCATTGTCGCCAACGACGTCGGGGACATCTGATCGTCATTGATCGCGGCGTCAAGATGTTTGGATCGCTAACCGTCGCATCCATCAAATGGACCCACGGCATGATGCGCCAGCTCCCCAAAAGGGGAAGAGGAGAAGGCTATTCGCAACGGCCGCTGGTGGACACGGCTTAAATTCCAAATGGGGACGGACAGGAGTATATCGGCCACGATGCTAGCCGTTTGATGGCTAGTGTCGTGGCTTTACGGTACAATTCCGTTGGCTAGTGTCGTGGCATGAGACTACTGCCTACTGACACGGGTGGTCAAACTTGCACCTACGCCGGCCCATATGATGAGATGTGAGTTGTCGCCCTCCTTGTTGCTCTCATCAAACTTTTTGATACGTTCTTCCAAACTCAATCCGGCTTTACAGTCCTCCATAATATTATTTGTAATTGCACGGCCGTCGCAATTGGGCGGCCAGCCATTAGTGCGGTTTACCTCGTCGAAAGCAAGGGTGCGGACAGTCGCGTTAAAGCCCGCTTTGACCAGGACGTCTTTCTTTGCGGGGGAGTAAGCACACTCGGGTGTGAAGAGAAAACGGGTTCCCAGTACAACGCCATCTGCAGTTAGAATGCGGAGTTAGAATCGCTGAAGTAACTGTACAGTGACTGGTTTTACCTACACATCGTGAGCAGTGAAGCAATTTGAGCGCCGGTTGATCTTCCTCCAGCCGCGAGTATCAAAAGGCCCGATTGAATGTCGCTCAGGACTACTTTCAATAAATCAAAAAGGGGTGGAGCATCGACACCTCCATGTCCCCCCGCCTCGATGTCTATGGAAGTAAGAAGAAAAGAAATTAGTTGGGAGCGGTGCGAACCTTGGACTACAACGGCATCAGCTCCACTTAGGACTACCCTGCGAGCGTCCTCTATCGAATTGATGATCACGAAAATGAATGTCTTGCGCATCGTCCTCTGATCATGAGAGCGAACCTGGGCCATGTATTTTCCCAGATTCAAGCCAAATGCGAACCAGATAGCGATCGGAAACTCGTCGAGCATAGATGGGAGGCGTGGATCATCGGACTGTTCTGTTATATCGAGGATCCAACCGATAAACCCTATAGCAATGGGAAGAGGATCTCCGCGAGCGATGCTGAGGCTCGTCCGAATTGTAGCCATTTTTTCATTAATCTCAGAGGTCGAATCGAATCCTGACAAAAGCATGAGGGAAGACGAGGGTGCAGTGGACTCCTATATCAGCGCCGATTGTTCCAAGCCCTCCGGCGGAGCTTATGGAGGATGTCAGCTCCGGTGTGGATGCAAATGCCATGGGGGCCACCACTACCGGAGTCGTGAGACCTAAACAACGTCAGTAGACCAGTTTGGATTCCAGGACAGAGTGGGATTATACTGAGGCGTTTTGTGAGGGGACTGTGAATGGGGATCATTGTGAACATTGGGAGATGGTTTATTATGGCGAAAACTTTAACGCAGATCGTCTGAGGTCTGGTGATAAGGCACTGTGTACACGGCAATGGCCAGAAGTGTCGAGCCGCCCACAAAATCACAGAAAACACAAGGAGCCCAGTTAGACCAAGAAACAACAGGCCAGGGATGTTCAAGTTCTTCCGCAGTGGAACCGGAGGTGTAGAGCTTGAAAGTAGTTGGACAAGAGCCAGATGCTCACCGCGACTCGGAGGGTGGCGGGAGAGGTAGGGTGCACACATACCCAGGTCAAAAGGAGATTAATGAGTTACGTTGAACTCAAATCCGTTGTGTCGTGGACGACATGGCAGATAGGAACACCGTCGAGCACGCATCAATCGGACTCTGACGTCTGAACTCCGCTCGGCAATTCCCTTAATATATTCTCGCGCGAGTTGAACTTGAGCTAGGCTGAGTGGAAGAAAATTAGCAGGAGGAGAAAAAAGTTGAAAGTTCATCGTCGCTCGCAGAGGAGCACCTTGATTCGAACAGCGACGTCGGGCTGAATCGGGATTCCTTTCATCGGAAGAAGTGCCCATGTGCATCTTTATACCATACTGATTTCGTAGCTGCATTCTGAACCTAGCTAAGTGTGAAAGAAAATTTGATGAGAGGAGCAAAAGTGGACTCAATATTTTTCACCCAAGAGCAGCACCTTGGTTCGAACAAGGACCTCGGGCTGAATCGCTTTGCATTTCCGTCATGTAAGAAGCGCCTGTGTGCATCGTTACACCATACTGCTTTCACTTTGAATTTTAAGCCTGGCTGGGTGCGCGTGGGATTAGCAAAAAGACAGAAATACAGTAGAGAAGTTATAGCACCACTTTGATTCGAACAAGGACCTTGGGTTGAATCGGATTTCATGTAGATATTGCAGATACAGGAAGCGGCACGTGTGCATCATTACACCATACCGCTTTCATTCCTACATTTTAAACTTGGTTGGGCGCGAGAAAAAATTGTGGGATGAGCAAAAAGACAGAAACACTGGGGAGAAATTATGGCAGCACCTTGATTCGAACAAGGACCTCGGATTGAATTTGTACTGTTTCAGCGCGTAATAAGCGCCCGTGTGCATTATTACACCATGCTGCTTGTATGCCTACATTTCGAACCTGGCTGGGTGCGAGAAAAAAATAGTGGGATGAGCAAAAGTCACACCTACGTTTCCCAGAGCAGTACCTTGAGTCGAACAAGGACCTCGGGTGGAATGCAGTTCAGCTTGCTTCAAGAAACACCCGTGTGCAACGTTACACCACACTGCTTTCATTGTTTCATTTTCGACCTGACTGAGTGGGGAGGAAATGTTGGGAGGACCAAAAATAAACGCGAAAATCAGCGAAAAGCAGCACCTTGAGTCAAACAGGACCTCAGGCTGAACCGGGTCTTTTGGGGAAAGAAGCACCCGTGTGCGTTATTACACCATACTGCTTTCATTTCTTCACTTTGAACCGACTCACTACGTTCCGTGACCTCCTAGGCAGGGCTTGGCTACATATGAGTGGAGCTTCAACTAGTCCCTGCCTAGCCGTCTAGGCAGACCTCTGCGCAGCTTAACGTGGCTCAATGTACCTACTCCTAGGTCGACGTAGTCATCTAGACACAGACTGTATAGCTACCCCGTTTATCTCGACTGTACCCCTTGCACAGTGGCGGATGATGAACTGGCAAACTATTTTCAGCCCTGCCTAGGCAGCTAGAAATAGCTATGCAAATGTACAATCAACTAAAAAGACATAAGAAGCCCTACAAATACCTAGCCACACCTTCGCATACCTAAAAAGGCTCTGTCTAGGTGGACTAGCCAGAGGTCTCTGCCTAGAAAGTTAGGGAACGTAGTGACTGAGTGTGGAAGGAAATTTGGTGGGAGGGAAAAAAGAAACTGACAAGCGCTATAAAGCGCTATAAGCAGCAATTTGATTCGGACAAGGACCTCGGGTGACATTATGCATCACCACGTATTAATACCCCAGGTGCATCATTACGCCATACTGCTTTCCTTTCCTCCATTTTGAACATGGCTGAGTGTTGACGGAAATGTTAGATGGGAAAAAAGAATGCGAAAGCCCCGGTGCAGAGCAGCACCTTGGTCCGAACAAGGACCTCGAGTTAAGTATGGATTAATAGTACCCCGTGTGCAGTATTACACCATACTGCTTTCATTTCTTCATTTTGAACCTGGCTGAGTGCGAGAGAAAATGGCGGGGTCCGATGATGCAAAAAGACTGGGACGATACTAGAGCAGCACCTTGATTCGAACAAGGACCTTGGGTTGAATATGGCAAATCATTGCACTTACAGGACTCCCATGTGCATAGTTACACTATACTGCTTTCATTCCTATATTCCCAACCTGGCTGAGGGCAAAAAAAAATTGTTGGGAAGAAAAAAAGACCGAAAGCTTTCTGTACAGAGCAGCACCTTGATTCGAACAAGGCTCTTGGGTTGAATCAATATTTATTTTTCTCAATAAGCTCCCGTGTGCCACATTACACCATACTGCTTTGATTGCTGCACTTTGAGCCTGGCTTAGTGTGGAAGAAATTAGAAGGAAGAGAAAAAAATTGAAAGTTCACCATGCCCCCCAGAGCAGCACCTTGATTCGAACAAGGACCTCGGGTTGAATCGGATTCTTTTGCTACGTGTATGAGTCACCCGTGTGCATCGCTACACCATACTGCTTTTATTACTGCATTTTGAACCTGGCTGAGTGTTGATGGAAATTTGTTGGGAGGGGGAAAAAATGAAAGGCTGTCTTTTTCAGAACAGCACCTTGATTCGAACAAGGACCTCGGGACCGGGTTGAAACGTTGAAGTGACGCTCTTATGGGTCCATAATGCCCCCGTGCGCATAGTTACACCACATTGCTTTCATTGCTGTATTCTGAACCCAGTTGAGTGTCGAAGAAAAATTGTGGGATAAACAAAAAGACAAGGCGAAGCAGCACCTTGATTCGAACAAGGACCTCGGGTAACATCATCAATCACGACCACGTATCAATACCCGGGGTGCAACAATAAGCCATACTGCTGATAATACGCTGATTGGTGACTTGACTGAGTCGATGATTTTGTGGGGTAATTTTGTGGAATGACTTGGAAGGGTTGAGTTCATTTAATTCAAAAATTTTGAGACATGCCCTGTAAGAACATCGAGACTTCGAAATGTAGAGACAAATTCAGACGAGACGCAGATTCTTATCGGTACGATTATAGGGCTGGAAACTAAATTCGGCTGAAAGCTGTAAAATGACGCAGATCGCGGGATTAGCCGAGGCCTAGGCACCATCGACATGTGACGGCGTACTGCAATTGTCTGACAAACTTTCCACAGTCTCACTAACGACGACGACAGCGTTGGCCGGAGAACGAGCTCGAAGTAAACGACGATTCCTGTGGACGAGCTCGACCCTGACGACGTTGACTACTGATCTGAAGACGTTGACCGCTAATCTCACGACAACGACGAACTTTGGCCCCACCGTAGCACTGGCACCATGTCAAAGCCGACGAGTAGATTTAATGGCTCCGGCTCAACCACCTCCTCTATGTCGTCCTCTTTCTCCCAAACGTTGAGCTTCTCCAGCCCCGTCGTGACCGCAACGCCAACCGATTCCGGGCAAGGAGGCGGAGGTGGGGGCGGGGGCGGCGGCGGCCCTGGTTCTGGCCCCAACGCCAACCTCTACCGTGCGTATTGCTCACCTACTACTCTTCTCCCCTTCCCTGTCTTCTCCGTGTATACTCACATGCGTGCTTATGTCCTTCTTTTCTTTCTTTCTTCCAGTATACACCTTCCTCGCGACCCTCGTACTCCTCCTGGGCGTCTCCGGCGCCATAATCGTGCGCTCCCTCCTGCTGCGCCGGCGACACCGCCGCATGGTCGAGGAGGCCATCGCGAACGGCACCTGGATCCCGCCCGCGCCACGCATCAAAGTCGACCTGCGCAAAAAGCCCAAACTGTGGGATGCGTATGTCAGCCCGCCCCCGGGCGCAGGCGAGGGCAAGGAATGGGATCGCGTCATGGTAGGTCCCCGCATCCGCCCGTACACCCCCGCTTCTTATTCCATACTAATCACCCCGTCCTTCATCTTACAAAGCCCTTCGCGGCCTCGTACGCCCGGCCGCCAGCCCCCTCACGCACACCTTCCTCGCACAACCTCGCCTCCGCCGCCGCCGTGTCTTCGCCGAGTCTCAGCCCTAACACCGCCACGTCGCCGCACAGCCTCGCCCCCGCCTTTGCGGGCGACTCGGCCGCAGCAATAGACAGCGCAGGGCTGGTGCAGCCGCGCGTGCGCGTCGCGGTGCTCATCGCCATGCCCTCGCGCGACGGCAGCGCGCTGTATCCCCTCTCCGGGGCTGCGTCATCATCCAGCTCGTCCACACATCCGTTAGACGCTGCACCCGCACCGGCATGGCGGACGGCACCGGTGGACGACGAGGACGAGGCACCGCTGCCGTACCTTGAGGTGGGGCTCGTGCACGTTGGTGTGGTGTCTGCTGCGGACGCGGACGACGAGAGCGGGGAGGATGGGGAAGGTGGGAAGAGGAGGGGGCGCTCGTGACACGACCCCAGGAGGGGAGGGGGATGCTTCGTCTCTGGCGGGGCGGCCGTCTCTGGTGGACGGAGGTGTTCTCTCTTCCCTCCCTCTTTCTCGTTCCTCGAGCCTCTTCTGTTTTCTCCTCATTGTAAAATAGATATAATGGTGATGACGTCAGCATCGGGTAGAACCGGGTTTGTGCGGGTTAATGCGGGTGTACGATTTGCGTTGACTTGAAGTTACTGCGTGTACAAGGGAGGGCAGTAAAAACACACTGAACAATTGTGCATTGATTATACATTACATACATATATACCTTTCTGTAGCCCTGGAACTTGAAGAGGGAGGATACCCTTCTGGTCGTGGTTTGAAAGTAAGTAACGAACTTACTTGCAGATTTGAACTTACCCGCTTGACATAGACAAGAACAGCCTATCGAAAAAAGAGATCCATGCCGTGGGGCGTCGCGCATATATATGACATTATATTGTAAATTCTACGGAACGCGAAGCGGGTTCGAGTCTCGCGTGGATCATTCCCGTGACTCCGCAGCGTTCTTTTAGTAAAAAATTGTACTTGCGATTTTTTCCCCCAGCGAATAAAGGGGCGCCCCGAATTGGAGAGGGAGATCCATGGCCCTGGGGCGCCGGACCATCATGTGTTCACGACAATGAAATGATCATGCGAAGTCGCCCGGGTGGATCGTGTGCCGAAAACAGCGGTTTTTTTGTCAACTTGGTATTTGTTTTTAACGAACCAAGCAGCGGACGAAGGACTGGAGAGAGAGATCCATGGCCTTGGGGTGCCGCACATTATTACCTCTGCAAGTTCAAACGTCATGCGGAACTGGGTTCGACTCCCGGGTGGATCGTGTGTGGGGTTGACTGAGTTTTTTTATCAAATTGGCTCGGGCTCGTATTCATTTCTAATGAACCAAGCGGCAGACGCATAATTGGAGAAGGAGATCCGCACCATCGCTTTCCAAAGTAATTCAAATACATCATAACGCGGCGGGTGGATTGTGCATGGTTGACTGATTATTTTTTTTGTTCAGGCGCCAATTTGTTTTGAATGGACCAAGCAGCAGACGAAGCCTTTGAGAAGGAGATCTATGGCCTTGGGGCGCCGCACCATCGTGTTTGAGCCAAAATCATCATGCGGAACTGGGTTCGAATCCCGGGTGGATCGTGGAGCGGTGGACTCTTTTTTTTTGTTCAGGCGCGAATTTATTTTGAATGGACCAAGCAGCAGACGAAGCCTTTGAGAAGGAAATCTATGGCTTAGGGCGCCGCACAATTGGAAGAATGCAATAAAGACCTGCGGAGCTGGATTTGAATCCCGGGTGGATCGTGAGTGAGGGCGAGCACTGGCATGGTATTGTTGTCAACTTGGTTCGGGCTTGCATTTTTTTTTCTTGAATGACCAACGCAGCGAACGCGAAAGAGTCCCGGGTGGATCGTGAGCGAGAGCAAACAACGAGCTTTTGGCCGACTTGGCTAGGGATCACATTCTTTTCGAATGACCAAGGCAGCGGACCCAGAGTCGTAGAAGAAGATCCATGGCTTTGGGGCACCGCACCATCATTCATCAAGACGAAACTATCAAGCGGAGTCGGGTTCGAATCCCGGGTGGATCGTGTCGCTGTCTATGAGAATAACATTTGACAATGTTGAATCACTCCTCGGGCCTCCTTGCATTTTTAGAATGACCAAAGCAGCAGAGAATAAATGGAGGGGGTCCATGGCTTTGGGGCGCTGCACATGATTACTGTCCCAATCTGTATGGAGGCAACCAACCTTCAAGCATTACGCCAAAATCTTTGTTTGAGTTAGCAACCGATTGCCTTTTGGGGGCTCCGGACTTCCTAATAGGGCAACTCTGTCCCCGCAGGGCCCGAAAAACTGCCCAAATTGCTCACAAAAGTCAACTTTTGGGTGTTACGGTATGCAAATAGGCAACATCTTAGGGCCCGCGTTACGCGTTACATTGCTACCATACAGATTGGGACAGTATTGTAGAAGCTTAATGGCATGCGGAACTGGGTCCGAGTCTTAGGTGGATCGTGTAGGGAAAAAAATAAATTATTGACTTCGCTCCTCGCTCCTTACGTTTTTGAATGAACCAAGCAACAGACGAGGAGTTAGAGAGTGATATTCATGGCCTTGGGGCGTCGCACATTATTGGGACGAGTTGATAAAGTCCTGCGCAACTGGGCTCGAATTTTGGGTTGGATATGTATCAATCAAATGTCATTTTTGTTGAATGGCTCCTTGCTCCTCGCATTTTTGAATGAACCAAGCAGCAAAAAAATAAATGGAAGAAGGAGATCCATGGCCTTGGGGCGCCGCACCATTATTAGAAGGATGAAAATAGGTCATGCGGAGCTGGGTTCGAATCCCGAGCGGATCGTGAGAGAGAGTGAACAGCAGTTTTTTTGTCAACTTGGTTCCGGGTCGCATTTTGCTTTTTGAAGGAGCACCATAAGGGAGGGAAGGGTGGTAAAACACACTGAACACTTGTGCATTCTCTATGCATATATACCTTTCCGAGCCTTGGCGGACCTTGGGAGGGAGGATGCACAAACTTACACAAGAACAGTCTATCGGCAAAAGAGATCCATGCCGTGGGGCGTCGCGCGCATATATAATTGTAAGTTCTACGGAACGCGAAGCGGGTTCGAATCCCGTGTGGATCATTCCCACAAGTGACCGCTCTTTTATTAAAAAGTTGTACTTGCGATTTGTTTTTCGAGCGAATAAAGCGGCGCCCCGGATTGGAGATGGAGATCCGTGGCCTTGGGGCGCCGCACCATCATATGTATTGAGGGAAGACAAATGATCATGCGGAGTCGGGTTCGAGTCCCGGGTGGATCGTGGAGCGGTGGGCTGATTCTTTTTTGTTCAGGCGCGAATTTGTTTGAATGGACCAAGCAGCAGACGAAGCCTTGGAGAAGGAGATCCATGGCCTTGGGGTGCCGGACATTATCACCTCGGCAAGTTCAAATGTCATGCGGAACTGGGTTCGACTCCCGGGTGGATCGTGTGTGGGGTTGACTGAGTTTTTTTCATCAAATTGGTTCATTCATTTCTAATGAACCAGGCGGCAGATGCAAAAGTGGAGAAGGAGATCCATAGCCTTGGGGCG